TGAGAAACTCATTATATAATAAGAATATAATTATACCCTATACAATGTCGTGCCAAGGATAGACGTCCAATATTCAGTCATTTGGAGTCTGTCATGACCTCGACATTTGTAGGGGGCCGGTTTTAACAGGGCAAACTCGTATTAATTCTAAATATTACTAGAGGAATTAAGAATGCTTAGAAACTTTTATAATCGACGATCAAAAAAGTTCGCTGAGTTACATATGCTCTTTGGCGTTAATTTACATTAAACCCAAAATAATTGGGTGATTAGGAAGTGATGTCAATATAGAGGAATGTACTTGGTTTAACTTTGTTTTCACAGTAGTCATCATTTTAGCGAAACCTAATATAATGTGTCCTCTGCTATAGTTGCCATCTATTCTTCCGGCATAGTACCGCTGACTGGATAAATTCTGAAGCCAGAATTACATATGAAAACTAAGACAAGGAAAACAGTAAGGTTTGAATTATTTTTTATTTTACAGGAAAATATAAGTAAGTTGTGAAAACACGTCTAAACCAGGTATACACAGCAAAAGCTCATATATACGAATAATTAAGACTACCTACTTAGCTCAAATAGACAAAAAAGTCCGCAGGTAAAAAGCAGTTAATTATGGAGAACTACAAAAGCTTTCAAAATAGAATCTGCAGCTCTATCGAGTGCTATCTTACAAGGTGTGCAAGAATTATCAGTAGGGCTGTCTGTCGCATCAAAGTAGACTTGCCACCCATATTGGGCCCGGTCACTAGAAGAGTTGTAGCTCCGCGCCGGAATGATTCCATCCCATCTTCGATAAAATCGTCCTTAAGGTCGGGCACGTAACCTAGACGAATGCTATTAGGAATGACATCGCCACCTGAGAAGGTTGATTTTAGACAGGGATGAAGGCCTTCGACAATCTCGATGAATGGCTGAGAAAAAAATTTCATTGTCATGTAATAGATGAGATAGGAAAATTATATAAAAAATAAGTGCATAAAAATATCAAAAGTTAATTTGAATGCATTAGTCATAAGTATGCTAGTCGAACAAAATTATTAAAAGCCAATTCTAAAACTTATATTGGGTGCTTAAGCACTAGACAGTCATCGCTGACTCTGCCAGCTTCCAATCTACAGTTTATTAATTTTTTCCTCACAAGGATGTCAATAGCCTCCGTAGAAGGGGCAAGAAATTAATTGAAGGCAAAAGAAAGAAGGGTCT